TCCCGGCCTCTCCCCCCTTGGATCCTCCCCGTGTCCTTACCTCTCCCTGGCAGTCCTCCCCGTTGATATTGAGCGTGACGTTGGTCTGGTTCTGCGTACACGCCCCCCGTCGTCAGTGTCGCCTGCCCCCGCCTCCTCCCTGCCTCCCTACCTGTGGAGCTTGGCACATGATCTCCTTGCACGTCACGTACTCCTTCCCGTCCATGTACCGTATCTGCCCCGGCCCCGTCAGCCCGCCCTCCGCCCCGCCTGTCTCCTCTCCTCCTCCCCTCCTGCCTCCCCCTTCTCCCTCGCGCTCTCCCGGCCTCTCCCCCCTTGGATCCTCCCCGTGTCCTTACCTCCGCCTGGCAGTCCTCCCCGTTGATATTTACAGTAGTATTTGTTTGGTTCGCTGGCTGTTTTTATCTTTCAGATTCATTGTACGAATTCTCAGGTTTACCTGAGTTTGCACATTGACGTTATACTGGTATGTTTGCTGAATTTGAATCTGTTTTTTAAGTCATCGTGTCTTTCAAAATATTTGCTTTTCTCTTTGCCTGGTTGTTGACAGTTGTCTGATTTTCGAGGTAAACAATCTTCTCTTGGTATAGAGGTATTTGATCGGAGCTATTTACATATACGAGGACTTGAACCTAAAAGTCTTTCAATGTTTGGTCAAGGTTGCAATCTCTTCGACACGTCACCTCCTTTGGTATCTCTACAATTTTCTCGATATAGACAGGTTTCTCTATGTAGATCACTTTCTCTACCTGCAGACATTGAAGTCAATCATTGACATGTTTCCGACGTCTCAAACCGTTAAGATGCGACTGACAGGGTTTTGCGCCTGCACCTGTAATCGCTCTTTAGACGAGTTGGAAGCTCAGTGTTGTCCTACCGGAATCGCAATAAAGCATGTCCCGAACCCAGAGAGAGAGAAAGTCCCTTGAGGGCAGGGAGAACATGAACTTGAATGAGGAGTTGAGTAGGATCCATCCGGACAGACTGTACATGACGAGGAGCCTTGCACAGAGAACGTCCCAGCTTCGCAAGGGAGGCAGGACCCCATGTCGTGATAGTACCCGGCTGCACAAGTCCATTCACAGTTGCTGGAGACTGGCAAACTTTCTTGGAGATAGACAGCGTTTGCAGGTTTGTTAGTGCAAACACTGCAGGCTTGCGGTCCACTGGAGGGTTTGAAAGAGCCAGCCGGGCATATCGTGCAATTCTTCGATCCAACAGGACCCGTGTAGCCGGGATCGCAATAGCACTGCGGATGTCCCGGATCCTTGTGGCAAGATACGGTCCCGCACTGATGAAGATTCAGAAATCTCAGAAGAGCAAAACACAAACAATCTCGTACTTCCTGGAGTCACAGCAGAGATAAAAGGGACAGCGGAGGATGGAAAACAGTCTTGATTAGTGAAGGAAGGCAACGAAAAGAACAATCACCATCGTGGGATTGTCCTGTAGATCAAAAGAAAGTTGTCAAGTCGTAAACCTTCACAATTTGATGCAAGCTCACGTAAAAACACTGCAGTCCGCGAGGTCGATCGCAACAAAGAATCGGTTACACCATCAACGAAGATTGAATGCATTTTACATACTGTCAGCAAATCAGTCAGTGCGATGGCAACGAAACTCCACAAAAGGTGAATGAGAAGGAAAGTTGAGATGAGGATGACTTACATTCTGTAGTCCGAAATCAGCCAGGACAAGCAAAAAAGCGTTCATCAGATTTGACAAGTTCAACAACAAGGTCTTACATCTTGGAATCCCTCCGGCTTCGCACAGGAAATGAAAAGCAATCGCAAAACGTTCAACATGACTCAATTTCAGAGGAGAAAGATCTTCACCTTCTGCAATGGACAGACAGGTCAGTGAAGCACAGAGTTCATGAGGGTCAGCGTACCGGCTGCACCAGGGAAGATGGTAGCGGGAGCGAGATAGACATCAGTCAGACGTACGGTTAAGACTCGATGGGAACAACTTACCCCCTAGCCAAGGAACATGGATCAGTATGAACCCTCATCAGCGAGTAGAGAAACGACTTACACAGTCGAACTTGTACGAGAATCCGAATCGTGTCGGAACATCGCTGCATCCGTGGTAATCGCAGTCCGCTTGCTCGGTACAATTCACTGCTAAAGTCAAACAAAGGCGCAAAGAGAAGAGAAGAGAGAATAAGATTGAAAATTTCATGAGCGAACAAGAATTCTTTGTCACAGCCATCTCCTGGAATCCTTCATCGTCGTCAAATACAGCGTCACCTGCGTGCAATTGAGGACAAAGTGGTGGGATCTTGTACCGTGAGAGATCGAGATGATTCTCCTGACTATCCAAGAATTGGATTGCAGACTGATAAACATCGTTTTCAACTTTTCGCTCTCGACGCCATCTCCCTTCTGCCTTCCAAAGCTTTGCCTCTACCTTCTCCAAAAATCCTCTCCCCTCTCCTACCTGTCCTCCCCACTCAAATCCTCTCCTCTCCTCATCTGGTCTTTTCTCTCTTCCCATATCTTTTCTTTTTGTTCTCCCCTTCCCTCCTCCTATGACCTCTCTTGCCTCCTCCCCTCCCTCGTCCCCCCCATTCAACCTCCTTTTTCGGCTTCTCCCCTTTTCCTTTCCTCGCCTCGCCTCACCTCTTCCCTCCTGTTTTCTCTCCCCTTTCACTCTGCAAGCTTGCTTTCCCTGATCTGCCCCCTTTTTTTCCCCTCTTTTCTCTCCTTGAACAGTTGATTTTCGTCCTTGTAAAGCACGGTCATTATTTGTTTCTCCCAGTCAAATCATGTCTTGACTGCTCTCCTTGTCGTTTCCATCCCCCATATCCTTCACATTCCTCTATGTTCATCTAGTTCTCTCCTCCTCTCTCCTCCTCTCCTCCTCTCTCCCCCTTGTCTTCCTCAACCCCCCAACTTCCTTCCCCTGTCCCGCTCATGCAGTCGTACATTCTTCATGGTTGGAGTAAACCCTTTATAATTACTAATTGAGGTTTATAATTGTTTTGAGTTGTTTTATTATTTTTGGCTGGTCATCAGTCGCAAAAACAGGCAGATATTGAGTGATTTTGCTCCTGCGGGCAATGGCCGGACAAGATTTCATGGCTGGAGGAGAGGGAGAAAGTAAGACGAACGGCAATGGCTGGAGGGGCGGGAGAAAGTAAGACGAACGGCAATGGCTGGAGGAGAGGGAGAAAGTAAGACGAACGGCAATTGCTGGAGAAGTGGTAGATAGTTGAACGAGTGGAAGATTGTTAAAAAGAGATCAGGATTAGGGGAGAGCATGCTTCACTGTGATGAGAATGTTCGAAAGAGCGTTGAGGCTCCTCTATGACACATCATTCTTTGAGAAGTGATGTCCCAATAGTAGGGGAGCGCATGTTTTTTGGATGGTATGAGAGCCATGGCGGAGGCCAAGGACATGACGTGTCGAGAAGAAGTCGAAGATACTTCTTCTGATATCATTGATATTGCAGACGAGGATGTGAAGATCGTCAACTCCTCAGATCTGACATGTACAAGAACAAGAGCTCAAGGACCAGGCAAAGGGCCAGCACTTGTTGTAGCTGCTCTCCAACAAAGCTCTCCTCGAGTATCTCGGGTTTGAGGCCCATGTTCTTCTTTTCCACCTTTGTACTGCTATCGCTGTTGCTTGCACGATTGCATATCATCAGCACTGTAGCTTTGACGAAACATCAGTATTATTTCTTCAACGACATTGCACGACTTGTAGAGCGAATTTATTCTTTGTGACAAATGAAAGACCATCTTATCACTGTTGTTGTTCTAAGCCTTCTTGAGCTTGGCCAGCTTTTGAAGGACTTCGTGCCGGACTTGGGACACGCGATCAGCATGATCCTTTTCTTCACATTCATACTTCAGTGATTCAAACGCCATCTCAAAATGTGGGCATACCTATTTCGTCGAAGTTGATGTTCAAATCTTCCACAATTCTCGAAATGACTGAGTTTGTCTGAGATTTCATGCTGCATCAGATCGAAGTACACTTTCCTCAAAATTTTACCTTGCCATGAATAGTGGTAGCTTTGTTGACAAACGAATCAAAATAATTTTCGGCATCCGAGAATTCGGAAGATCTTTCTACTTTGAGCTGAAAGTTGCACAGATCTTCAAGTGCTGCAAGTGCTTTCTGAGAGAGAAAAATGCTTTAGGAAATAAAAACTTGAGGCGGTAAAACAGATTGTCAAATCGCATCATGTCAGAGTAAGACAGTAAGATTTTTATCTCTTGTTCACACGGAAAGGTAGTCGTGTTGATTGGATCGCGATAAGAATTTGATGATGGTGGAGTTATCTAGAAGATCTCGACGAGTGATAATGAACAGATGTAGGCAAGAATTCAATCATGAAGGTTTCGCACTCGCAAGTTTCTGGGGATTTCCCGCCATGTCGGCGACTTCTTACCGATCGATCTGCCATTATGAAAGTTTGTGGTCTGAATGAAACTGCGGGGGTAGGGGTCCCAAATTGAAAGCCGAATGTCTTTGTAGACCGGTGTGCCTCTGTGTAATGAGTGGGTAGATAGTGGGTAGGGGTACTTCAGTCAAAATGTTGTTAGGGGTGGGGGTCTGGCAAGGGCGGGAAACTGGGACCCCCCGAAAGATTCTGGAAAATGGTGGGGGTGGGGGTGGGGTGGAGAGCGGTTTTGATGGATGATGTACATGAAATCCAGTTGGAAGTCGAGGAGGAGGAGGAGGAGGAGGAGGAGAGGAGGAGGAGGAGAGAGCGTTCTGAGGTTGGTCAAGGGAGCCTCGGAGGAACAGACGATGGATGGAGAGAAGAGGCAGGAGGGAGACCCCACGCTAAGGGGAGGAAGGTGACATTCAGGGATGATGCTAGGGTAGCAGACGACATTGGTGCAGAGCCAACAGGTGAGGGGGCGGGGGAGGTGTTCTTGTGAATGACATGTATGCCGTAGTCCAGGGGAAGGAGAATGGCATGAGCGAATTCATCCAGCAATATTATGATGACGATGCCGTAGACATCATCGGCAGGCCTTTGAAGCAGATGTGAGCCTGTTGCTGCTGATGCGTTCGAAGATCCTCTAACAAAGAAAGCGATGTAGGATGGAGCTCAGGATCAAGGCACAGGAAGATCAAGATGCAGCTTTCCAGCAAGGTGTTGGATATCCCACGAAGGGGGGTAAAGATAAGTCTTCAGCTCCGACATTGAATTGATTAATTTTCTCAGTCGAAGTTGCGGACGACCGAGCAAGCTGCTATCTGAAGCTCTTCATCTTGGGCTTGATCGTTAGTATCGTCGCACTAGGAACATGTGGTATCTTGTGCATCGCATCGAATGGTTGACGTCCTGCTGGTTGGACTCCTGTGAGCTAACTGTCTTGACGATTGCAGGCGAGGGACCGACGTGCGGGTCTGGTTTGGGAGCAGGGATCGCCATGGTCGGGACTTCTTCTTGCTCCCCCACCTGACCTTGAGCCCCAGACTGTGATCGCCTTTGTCCTGGCTGGTCGTGGAGCGATATTTCTGCGGAAGTATGAGAGGATTGTCAAACGAAGCTTGAGGGGTGAGGAGGAGGATGAAAAGAAGAGGAATGCGAGTGAAATTGGCGCAGGTCCCATCTATCGCTCGACTTGAGGAGCATGTTTGCTAGAAAACAAAATGATCTAAACATCAATGCGCGTCATCGCAGAGAAGTCTCTGCACATCGATAACGACTGAGACCCACTCGTGTACGAGACCGCAGGTCTCTGATAGAGCCCAGGCCTGTTGCAACTCAGTTCCATCGGCATCAACAGCATCCTTACCTGCGAGGAAGACGACCGAGCGAAGATCTTTGCGGCGAGTTTCGTCCTCTCCATGTACTCTTTCTTCCCCGCCGCTCTAACTTCTTCCTTGCTGAGCTGCAGCGAGCCCATCTTGGCTGGCAGGTTATTCCCGAGCTTGTCCCTCAGCTCCGCCCATGTGAGCGCCTCGTCCTTGCTGAGACCGAGAAGGACGGCAAGAGCTCCTAGAGTTGCAGTGGCCGTCCTTGAAGGCTCCCCGCTTCTTGCAGCCATCGCAGAGCTGCCTGGTTGGCATCCGTAGCCTCCTGTAGCTGGGACTCCAGTCTCTCCTTCTGGGCTCTCCCGATCTCCTGGTGTGACGTGTCAGATTCTGTTCACTCCTCTCGCGGTTGGAACCCACCACCAGATCCTCGTCTTCAGAGGCTCTCGAGGTCTCGGGAAACGAGGATCGCTTCGAGGGTTGCGACGAGTGAGACCTGGCTGAATGTCACCTCCGCGCTGAAGTCATCATCATCATCATCATCATCATCATCATCATCGTCATCGTCATCGTCATCGTCATCGTCATCGTCATCGTCATCGTCATCGTCAACATCGTCATCATCATCATCATCATCATCATCATCCCGCTCCTCCACGCTACCTCAAAGTTTCTAGCTCTGCCCGGAGCTGATCTCTCTCATTTTGCAGCTTTTGCAGCTCCTTCTCCGCCTCCTGCAACACCTTCTGCGAGTTTCGGATGTCGAGCATCCGCTGGGCCTGGAGGGCCTCGAACCTCTCCTCTATCTCCCGCTGCCGGCGCTTGGAGTATTCTTCTCTCTCCTCCACCTCCGTCACTTTCTTCTCCAGCTCAGAAATGTTCATAAGCGCCTGTGAGAACCAGCCAAGTCAACACCCTCCTCTCCTCCTTTTCTCTCTCCTCCTTCTCTCTCGTTCTTCTCGTCCTCTACCATCGCCTCTTCATCCTCTCCACCTCACCATGTCCAGAGCTGTCCCCTGCGGCTCAAGCGCAACGAGCTCCAACTGAAGCTTCTCCTCCGCAGCTTTCCGATCCTCCAGCTCAGCCCGCAAACTTCTCCTCTCATCCCGCAGCCCCTCCACCTCCTCCTCAAGCTGGGAAAGCTTGTGCTGGGCCGCCGACAATTCCTCCTTTGCCTTTCTCAGCTGCGAGCAAGGTGAGAACAGATCTTCCAGAACAGGCTCAACTACCTCGCCCTTGACGCCCTCTGCTGCTTCCTCCTCGGCTCCAGCAGACTTCTGCAGCTCCTTCTCCACCGCCTTGAGAGCTTTTCGGAGCGTCTCTGACTCCTCGCGCGCGATCTTCAAGCTGCGGGTCAGCTCCGAGCTCTCTGACTTCTGCTGCTGCAGCTCCCCCCTCATGTGCGAGAGCTCCGCTTCCCTCTCCTTCACCCGCTTCCCCCAGCTCTCCTCGGCCTCCACCTTGGCCTTCAGCAGCTCCTCCTTGGCATCGTTGAGCTGCCTTGTCACTGCCAGCAGGTTCTGCTGGGACGAGTGCAACTCGAGTCTTGTGTCCATCAGCTCCTGCCTCGCCCGTGCCAGCTCCTCCTCCTCCTCCTCCTTGCAGCCCAGACCTCGTCGCTCCATCTGAGGCTCATCCTTGACAAGTTTGACAAGCTCGTCCGTATGGCTGTGACTCTTCGCCTTCAGGTTGACGTTCTCAACCTTGAGATCCTTGACTTGTCTCACGAGACTGTCGTGCAGCTTCATCCGCTCCTTCAGCTCCTCCTTCACCGACGACAGCCGCCTGTCCAGCTCCTCTGCGGCTTCGCGGCTCCTCTTCGTGTCGTACTCACACTGGCCCAATCTCTCCTCCGCATTATCCCTCTCCCTCTGCAAAGTCTTCAATCGCTCCCTGTACTTCTTCTGCACCGACAAAGTCAGGACGCAGAATAGTGTCAAGGAAACAACTGACCTCGCTCTCTCCTATCTCCTCCTCCTTCTTCTCAAGGACCTTACACAAGTTCTCGTTCGTCTCTTTCATCTGCGCGATCTGCTTGCGCAGCTTGTCCACGTACGAGTCATGCTCCTGCTTCAGATTCTTCACGTACGACTGCTCGTTCTTCAGGAGCGTCTGCGCAGACTGCAGCTCTCGCTGAAGGAAGAGGTTCGAGCTCCTCCCTTCCTCCAGCACTTTCTTGACACCAGCAAGCTCCTCCTCGAGCTTGCCCGCCTTCTCCTTGAAGCTCTCTCTGCTCCTCTTCGCTTCTGCCTCACTTCGGCTCAACGCTGACTGACTTGCCTTCAACTGGTTGCTCCACTCCTCCTCTACCATCTTCGAACGATCGACCTGGCTTGCCAGAGCTTTCTTCGCTTCCTCCAGCGCCTCTTGACACGTTCCCAACGCCTCTCGAAGGCTGCTGATCGTCTTTCCCTTCAGCTCTGCCTCCACCTTCTCTTTCCTCTTCGCTTCTTCCAGCTCCCCTCTCAGACCTTTCTGCTTCTCCTGCAGTCTCCCGATCTCTTCCCTCAGCTCTGACGCCTCCGTCTCCGCCTTTTCTGCGCGCTTAACGAGTTTGTCCTTGCGGCACGAGTCAACTAAGGAAGGAGGAGGAGGCGACAGACAGACAGGAGGAAGAGAATGCTGAACAAGACAGGCCAAGGGAGTAAAGGTAGAGGAGAGAGCTGGGGAGGAGAAACAACGGGAAGGGAGGGGGTCTGGCAGAAGGGATCAGGGGTTGGAGAAGGCAAGGACTTACATGCTTTTCGACGGCAGTTCGAAGTTCCCTCTGTGCGTTCGACTCTGCAAACTGCGCATCCTTTATCGTCGATTCGACGGCAGCAGAGAGACTCGCGTGCTCCTGGGCCGCTCGTGCCTTGAACGAGTCGATCTCTCGCTGGAGCTCCACCATCCTCTTCCTCAGCTCGTCGATCAGCATCGAGTCCTCCTGCTTCTTTTCTTCCATCCTCTTGATCGCTTCCACGAGGTTCTGCAGCCAGCACAAGTCAGGCAAGCGAACATTCAGGTGTCCTTCTTAACCTCTCTTTCCTTCTGTTTGCTCTCCTCCAGCCGCGCTAGCTCGCTATGAAGCCCTTTCACTTGCGCCTCGAACTCCCTCCTAGCCCTTTCGCTCTCAATCTTCTCCTCCTCCATCTGGAGACGAGTCTCCTCTTCACGCTCCTCAAGCTTCTCCGTCGCCCTCCGAAGCTTGTCCTTCAGGGCCTCGGCCTCTGCCGCCTGCTCTCTGTTCCTCTTCAGCGCTTCTCCGAGCAAGTCCTGCATCTCCTCCTGCATCTTCCTGACCTGCACCTGAAAAGTCTCGCTGTCCTTCTCCTGCAGGTCTTGAAAGTCTCGATTCGACCTCCGCAGGTTCTCCTTCGCCTCCAGACAATCTTGGCGAAGCTGCAGGCAGGCAAGAACGATCAGAAGTGGAGGAAGGAGGAGCAAGCGAGAGGGAGAGGGAGCAGGAGTGGAGACAAGGAAAGTGGAAGTGCGAGTGCAACTGAGCAGCAGGTGAGCAGCGCTGGGGTCATCGGGCTGTCACCTGCAAGCAGACGGATTCTTGCTCTGCCAGCTTACTCGTCAGGTCTTGGATCGTAGACTTCTGCTCGTCGAGCAGCCGCATCGCAGAGCTGACTGTCTCAACAGGATCGAGGAGGTTGGTGTTCACCAGCTGGTCCCGAGCTGCCGACAGCACAGACTCTAACTTGCAGATCTGAAAAGGGAGCAGGCACTGATGAGAAGGAGAAAAAGAGAGGAGCAGGTTCGACAGCGGGCAGAGGGCAAACAAAGGAGTGCGAGGGAGGAGAGGTGAGGGTGGGGAAGGGGGGAGACACAGCAGCGCATGGCTGACCTTCTCTTCAGCCTTGGCTGCGCGATCCTCGGCTGCGGCCAGGAGGGACTGGAAGGAACGGGTAGCGTCCTCAGTGCTCTGGTCCGATGAGGCGAGCTTGGCACGGAGGATCCGGAGCTCCTCGGACTTGCTCGCCAGGCTCATCTTGGCGGCGTCTGCTGCCTCCTTGGCAGTGAAGACCTCATGCGCACAAGTTGCCCTGACATGCTCCAGCTGATACAGGAGCTCGTCGCTGCGATCCTGCTCGTCCTTGAGCTCTTTCCTGCACTCCAGCGCATCCTCGTGCGCCTTCTCCAGCGCCTGCAGCAGCTCGTGGATCTGAGAGGAGTAGTCGAGCGACATGTGGGAGGGCTCTGGCTTCCGCTCATTGTGCTGGGGTACCGACTGGAGCACCTGCTCCTCATTCATGGGATGGCTGCTGTGAAGGGACCGAAACGATCGCTCGGTGAGCTTGAACTTCAGTTCTCGGACCTCCGTCTCGAGCCGCTCTACTGCCCGCTGACTCTCGTTGGCGCTCCTGCGGTTCATTTCGCGAGCATGCTGTAGGTCGACCTCAGCCTGCTGGAGCTTGCTCTCAAGCTCTCGCACTCTCCCCTGCAGCTTCAGGTTCTCCTTGAGCGCCACCACCTCGATCGACCTGTCAGAATCTTCTGATCCGAAGGCTGTCGAGGGCCACGAGGTTGTTAGGGGGATCGAGCTGTAGCGCGAGGCCATGGCCAATGAGTGTGGTCTTGGAGGGTCTGCCTGTGGGCCCGTAGACCAGTCCCTTCTTCCTTGGACCTGCAAGGAACCGACCCTTCCTCCCTGATATCTGCTGTCCGATGGGTTCATCGAGACTGACGGTCACTCCCTTGAACCACACATCCTCCTCTAGCTCTAGCAGAGTTCTCTTGCTTGTTGCCTCAGAAATGCTCCTGCTCCTGCTCCTGCTCCTGCTCCTGCTCCTGCTCCTGCTCCTGCTCCTGCTCCTGCTCCTGCTCCTGCTCCTGCTCCTGCTCCTGCTCCTGCTCCTGCTCCTGCTCCTGCTCCTGCTCCTGCTCCTGCTCCTGCTCCTGCTCCTGCTCCTGCTCCTGCTCCTGCTCCTGCTCCTGCTCCTCTTCGCTCCCTCAAGCTGCTTCGCCACTTTGTGTTCTCATCCCGAGGATCCTCTTGGTTTACTCAAAGTTAAGTTAAAATCAGTACGAGGACAATCCTCTAGAAATAGCTGGGCCCTCATCCCACCGCTGACTCCGGACTCCGGGAGCAGTCCTGGGAGCAGTCCAGGGAGCAGTCGGTGGCAGGGAGTAAGTTACGGTATGGTGGATGGACAGGCCCTCCGAACGGAATGCAGTAGGATCTACAATCATGGAAGAAAGGGGGCAGCAAGACTCGACACCTTGAGCTGCTCTTCAGTCACGAAACTTCTTGAGAAGCCTTCATCAGCCTTCGGGGTGCTGGCAATCTTCGGAACTTGATCTCCCGGCATGGAGTATCTCCCACCTTGTTCATTGTCAAAAACAAGGTATTCCATCTTGTCAAAATCATGGTATTCCATCATGCCATTGTCAAAAACATGGTATCAAGTGGTGGAACGTATGCCAGCCGTGCCAGTCAGATAGCGCCGAGTTAACTTCTCCTGACGGTAAAGCAAGACATTCGGACTTACTAGCCGCGGCGTGGCAAGGCGGCGGATGTAGCGTGTGGGGCCGAAGAGGGGGCTTTCCTAACCGTCTTGCTAAGGTCCTCTCATGTCTGGATGCTTGGGTTTCACATCCTAGCATACAGTCTATCTCTCATGTGCTCCTCAATACTGGTTTTTGTGTCACAGTGCATTAAACTCGGTCTTGAGCAAAAACTGTCTTGTTACACATTGAACTAAGGTCGATGTGATATCTGCGTGACTTTGGACTAGTACCCAAGTACCATCATTGTCGGCAAAAACTTTAAAACCGTGATGCCACGGTCACTGATCCCATCATTGTCAATAATGACAATAGAATAGCATCCCCCTCATACTCACCTGAGGGGGCCGTGGTCTCGAGTAGGTAGGGGGTGAAGTGAATACCGGTGTTTATTCGACATTCTCGGGTCGTAGAGGGGGTAGGGTTACCTTTCTGGGCAGTGGAGGAGTTAGTTTGACTCACCGGAAATGGAGTTGTGATAGAGCGCGACAGAGGAAGGGGGAGGAAGGGAAGGGAAGGGAAGGGAAGGGAAGAGATCATACAAGGAAAGAGAAGATAAGGGATCGGAGAAGAGAAGAGAAAGGAGGAAGAGAACAGAGTGCGAAGGACATGGGAGCAACGAGAGAGGAGGGGAGGAGTCCGGGAAGGGGAGATGCTAGACAGAGGAAGGAGTGCTGAGGACCGGAAGGAGGGGAAGAGGATGTGAACAAATGTAGATGATGATGATGATGATGATGATGATGATGATGATGATGATGATGATGATGATGATGATGATGATGATGATGATGATGATGATGATGATGATGATGATGATGATGATGATGATGATACGATGGAAAATAGACTCAAATTGTCAAGGAGTCCTGCTGGTCAACGAGAAGTGGAGGGCAGATGAGGGATAGGTCACCTCACAACATACTATTTTTAACTGATAGAACAAATCGACCTCGTGGAAACGACGTGACTACCAGTCGCAACACTCGTTGACCTGCCTGCAGGCGACTCGTCCTCCCGCATTCAGGACCATGGGAAGGGGAGGAGCGATCAAGAAACCAAAGATAAGGCGGTATGTGACCCTGCGGATGTTTCCGACCGGTGATGACAAGCTCTGATAGTGATGCGAGTGGGAAATCCTTTCAAGATGCAGACGCAGCGCAAGAGTGAGATCAGTTCATATTCTCTTGTTGCATCTCCTCACCATTTCTGCTCCTTCAAACAGGGAGCATCATGTCATGGAAATCGGGGACAAGTACTTTCAGCATGCGCTCGTCATGCGCGCTGAGAAGGATCTGCGTCCCTCGAGGTACTGCCTACGTGAAGGCACTTGACTTGAAGATTGATGATTCATCCAGCTCTTTGAAGAAAGTTTTCGGAATCGGCCCAAAGGTATTCCTCCCTCCTCCTCCCTCCTCCTCCTCCTCCTCCTCCTCCTTCTCCTCCTCCAAATTTCTCTCCTTCGCAAACACCACCATCTCATCGCTTTCCTCTCTAGGTCGGGTTGCTTCCGGGCTCGAAGATTCTGCACCCGTACTCCCCGTTCTCTCACAGCGTCTCATTCCTCTCCTCCTTGCTCCTCCTCTACACCTCCGTCTCCAGCGCATACAACGCAGGATTCTACTGGAAGGCCGACGGATGTTTCAAAACGTGATTTACATTGGTGCCCCTTTCCTTCCCTGTGCTGAGATCGCGCGCAGGCCAACCCTGTACATGGACGCGTTTGTGGACACGTTCTTCCTGATTGAGATTGTCCTGAACTTCTTCACGGGAATCTACGTAGCCGGGGAGTACTGTGACGACCTGTACATAGTGTCAAGGAGGTACTTCCTCCAAGGGTTCTTCTTCGACCTCCTCACGTCGATCCCGGCGTCTTACTTTGAGGTAAAACATCCTCTGCCTTCTCCTCCTCCTCTGTCGTTGTCTCCCTCCCTCCACTTGCTGCTCTCCCCCCCCTCCCCCTCCCTCCCTCCCTCCCTCCCATCCCCCTCTCTTCCATCCTCCCTCCCTCCCTCCCTCCCAAGTAAAGACTTCACCGAACAACACACTCCTTCCTGCTCTGCGCTGATCTACACGTGCAGATCGCAACAGTGTCGGGATGCAAGGGGAAGGGCAGAACAGTGATCAGGCGATGAGGCTCCTCCGTCTCCTCAAGCCGATCCGCCTCCTCAAGATGCTGCGAACCTTCCGAGCGGTCAACATGCTGCAGTCGCAGCTGCCCCGAGGAAGCGAGCTCTACTCGTGGATCTCAGGAAAACTTCGGCTGCCGAGCTTCGTATCGAGGGTGATCAAGGTCATGCTGGTGATCGTGCTAGTCGAGCACGCCGCCGCCTCGCTCTTCTGGCTGGTGAAGGAGAACTCCAACACCTTCGAGCAAGTCCAGGCTTTCCTGATCGACAACAACGTGCACACCTGTGACGAATACTACTCGTCGAGGTGCATGACTGACAAGTACATCGTCGTGAGTAGCTACCTGCCTTCCTGTCGCAGCCCTGCGAATCTGATCTGTCTTGCAGGCGACTTACTTCGTCGTCATCACCTTCAACACGATCGGCTTCGGCGACATCTCAGCGGTCAACACGCAGGAGAGGCTCATGTGCATCCTCTTCTCCTACATCTCCGCCATGCTCTTTGGCGCCCTGCTGGCAGAAGTCCAGGAGGCGATGATGCAGGTCAATCAGCACGCGCGAGACAAGTCGTCGCTGCTCAACCGCCTGGGAGACTTCATGGAGTCTGCCAACCTCAGCCGCACCTTCCAGTTCAAGATCCTGTCCTGGGTTGACTTCGAGCATGACTCGGAGAGGGGCAGGGGGAAGGAGGAGGAGGTCCTGTCCCTCCTCTGCCCCAACCTCGCTTGCGACTTGAAGTTGTTCCTCCACTCCTCCATGTTCACCAGCATCAGCCACTTCAACAACATCGTCGACGACAGGAGGGAACTGTTCATAGTCGCTCTGTGGGACCATCTTGCCTGCATGCTGTTCCCTGCCCTCTCCCGCATCGCTGACTTCTCCAAGTCCAGGGAGGCGTGCGGCCTCTACTTTGTCACCAAGGGATCGGCCGTCGTCCTGCACGACAGCGGGGCTGTCATCTGCTCCGTTCCCCATGGCTCCCACTACGGCGAGAATATCCTGATGGGGAAGGGGAACGGGCCCGAGGGTCTCGAGCTCTGGTCGGTTACCAACGTCGAGACTCTCTTCCTCTCCCGCGACAGCTTCCAAGAAGTCGTCAAGACCTTCGGCGGGCTCATTGCCGAGCAGTTCGGCGTGCAGCCGGAACAAGGAGGAGAAGGAGAAGCAGGAGGAGTGGGGGCGATACAGGACGAGAGCACGCATTTCTCCAGCCAGGTCCCTGCCCACGTCCTCCTCCGCTGGGGGGAGCTGGCGACGAGGCTGATGAGGACCGAGCATTTGCGGGAGAAGGCGGAGGGAGGAGGAGCAGACAAGAATATCAGTGAGATCCGCCAGTTCAGCGCCGCCGTTGCCAAGTGCCTGTCACCCTCCAGCTCCTTCAAGGATCAGGCAGAAATCTCCCCAATAGCAGCGGAGGAGGAGCCCAGCCAGCTCGCGAGTATCTCGGTAATCGGGGAGGTCAACGAGACGGAGGGGATGGCAGTGGAGCAGGCAGCTGGCGTCTTGCTGAGAGGGCCGACGCTCGTCGAGCAGAAGAAGAAGCTGAGGGGCCTGATCAAGTCTTCCCCAGCTGTGTCCGAGCTGCTGCTGCGGGTGCGCGGGCTGGTGGCGCGTGCGGAGAAGATCTCCAAGGACGTGCATGAGATGGAGGGAGGGAATGTGCTGAGCTTCCCGACACCGCGTGTCTGAGGAGGACGAGGACGAGGACGAGGACGAGGACGAGGATGTGGACGTGGACGTGGACGTGGAGGAGGAGGAGGACGTGGAGGAGGAGGAGGAGGAGGAGGAGGACGTGGAGGAGGAGGAGGAGGAGGAGGACGTGGAGGAGGAGGAGGAGGCCTGAGCGGAGGGTTCGATGATTTGTTGGTTTACCTTTTCTGTGTAATTGTTTAATTCCATCTTTTAGTAATTTAGTCTCATGAAATCCTTTGACGGAATCATCCAGCTCCTCCACAGCTCGCACCCTCGTCCCTCCTCTTTCTCTTCCTCCCCGTCCTCTCCCCCACTGTTCTCTACTTCTCTTCCTCTCCTTCTCTTCCCCTCCTCAACAACCTCCTCCTCCTACTCTTCTCTTCCTCTGTCTTCTCCTTCTCCTTCATCATCCGTATTTCTGCACAGAGGCATTCAGCTTGTCTGCCTCGCTGATCGCCGCAAACACATCTCGCTGGATCGCGTCTACAACTTCGAACATGGACAACTGAGGTGAAGTCAGCTAGGGAGCCCCGAGAGCACCAGCATCGCTCACGCTCGTCTCCGCAAGCCTCGAGCGGTTCAGCTCGCTCCTGCTCCTCTCTATCGCCAGCGACTTGGCGATGGTCATCATTTCCATCTGCCCGTCTTGCCGTCATGCTCCCTCCCTCTTCCTCTCCTCGTGCTCACTTGGTACTTGTCTCGATCCGACATCGCTAGGATGTAATCGTGCGTCTTGCTCTTGGCGAACTCGCTAGGATCACGTGACAACCAGTCCCCCAAGAGGAGCCCAGCTGACCTGCTCGCCGACATCTCCCACTGCAGCCTCTCAGTCTTGCTGGCCGCGCTTGACAGGCCGGTCAAAATCTCCTCAACGGTTTCCTCCAGCTTGCTGATCATCTGAACGATCCCGGGTCAAAGTCACTCAGGTCAACAGTGACGAGTCAAACTTGAGCCATCTCCCCGTTGTCTAGCGGCGGTGATGACGTCATCTTCGTCTGCTGCAGGCCGACAAGTCAGCAGAAACCTGACCGACAGAGCAGACGTCACATCGATCTTCGAGAGCGAGCAGTCGAGCCCAGCAGGCCCCCTGGTGCTCTGACAGGAGACGTCAGAGATGTTCGTGCTCTGCTCTGCCTCTCCGACCCACCAGCACCTCCTGGTACGTCAACTCCGCCCATGACCGCGTGAGTTCGTTCTGCATGCTCCGCATGTTGGAAGTCAAGACCTCACTGCAGGTGCTCATGAGTGGATAGGAAGGAAGAGGAAGAGGAAGAGGAAGAGGAAGAGGAAGAGGAAGAGGGAGAGGGAGAGGGAGAGGGAGAGGGAGAGGGAGAGGGAGAGGGAGAGAGAGGGAGAGGGAGAGGGAGAGGGAGAGGGAGAGGGAGAGGGAGAGGGAGAGGATAGCAAGAAGAAAGGGCATGATGTTTTCTCTCACTTCTTTGCAACGGCCAAGCGAAAGTCATTGACGAGGCACTGCATCATCGTCCTGCTTGCATTAAGCTTTTCCTCTGTGTCCTGTCAAAAGCATCAGGGGGAGGAAGAGGAGGAAGACGAGAAGCAGAAGCAGGAGGATTAGCAGAAGCAGGAGCTATTGAAGGAGGAGGATCAGAGTGAGATTAAGGGGATGTAAGTGGCGAAGAAACATCATGTACTTTTAGACTTGTTTCCATCTCAACATTTCGAGTTTGAAGTTGTTCGATGAGTTTGAGTGAGGAGTTTTCTTTCGCCTGTCTCACATTGTCACGGACATCTAGGGATATCGCACTGACCTTCAGCTCCTCTTGTGCTTGTAACAAACATCTCGTCTTGCTCTCAGTTGTAGTTCTGAGCATCGACGCTATCATCCTGTACTGCAACGCCTCTGAACACGAGAGCATCCTCTTCATACAGAATGCCCATCTCCTCCTTATGTTCCTCTTCAGCGACCTGCTCAACCTCAGACACTCCCTTGCAGACGTTGCCAACCCACGCTCTCATAACAGCGACAGTCTCCGACAATGATGAAACCTTCTCTTGGTACTGACAGCAGGTATTACCGTCCTCACAACCTCGAGTTGCTCCTTGCAACCTTTGTGAACTCGATCTGAACCTTCTCGAGGAGTTTCACGTGGGAGATTTTCTGGCTGTTTGTCGAGAAGACATCTGTTGGTCTGTCCCTGCTCGCCATGCTCAGCTACTGAGACAACCGGAGAGCCTCCGCACATGGCAAGTTTTGAGATCAGGTCCCAGGTCTGGTTGATCAGTTGGCTGTTGGCCTGTTTGGCGTCCTTCCTCTCCCTCCACGGAAATCAGAGCAGAACGAGTGGCACTTACTGCTGTTGTCATACCTTGCGATGTTGTGAATCTCGGCCTCCAGGAGCTGATAGGAGAGGCTCTTGTGAAACGACTAGTGCGATTGCAATATCAATCTCTCACCTCCTTCTCCACCTTTGCGGATTTCAACGCGCTGAGTCACGGATAGGTCAGATGAGCAAGTCAGAACTCTCAACGGCCCCCAAGACCTCGTCAGGTTCTCGTTTTGCCGCTTCTCCGCAAGCAGCTGATTCGACAGCTCTGACAGGCATCGTCACTGAGGCAGGAAGACAGCCCAACTGTTCACTACCAGCGAGCTGAAAGTCCAGTCTCGACCGTTCCTGCTTCTCTTGCTTCAGCTGGCCACACACGTCAGCAGACTCGTCGTGCTCCTCCCGCCTTGTCAAAACCTTAGTTGACAACTCTTCTTGCGAGCTTGTCAGACTCTGCAGGCTCCCCTCATGTATTGTCTTTGCGCTTCCTCGTCTGTCAGCTCTAGAGCCCGCTTCACGCCACCCCAGCTGCTCACCTTTGAAGGCTCTGGTTCTCTTTCTTCAGGTCCTCCAACTTCCCCCTGAGTTCCACCTGATGCCAGCACGTCAACAGCTGGAGAAGAGACGAGTCAAGGCTACCAGGGTGCCCTTGCACGTTGTCAGCTCCTGAAGAGAAGTCTCGTGGATCTTTCTCAGGTCGTTGGCTTCCTGCTTCAACCTGTCGTTGTACTGTTTGAACCCTTCCACGTCCCGAGCAGACTAGGAAGCCTGAAGTTAGGCTGCGCCAGAAGTTCGACATGAATCACTTTCTCGAGAGTTTCTATCTGGTGAAGACAATCTTCAAAGGACGCGGCCTTCTTGGAGAGCTCCTGATTGACAAATCATCATGACATGTCCAGTTGCGACACGATACGACAAAAGAGAGCATTGCAGTGCAGTGCAGGACGAGACGAGACGAGACAAGACAACGCAAGATAAGGCAAGGAAACGTAAGAACTCACTTCTTGATGTTTCGCTCGCTCAACTTCCCATTCTTGCTCCTTCATCTCTACACGTCTGAGGCAAATCGGTCACATTGTCATAAGAATTGAAGTGTAAAGCAAGACCGCAGCTCCTCTTTCGCAAACTCGGAGCTCTGCCAGGGAAGTCATGACCCAACAACATCTCAGGTTCGTGTTTACCTGCTTGTACTCTTCCAGCTCGGCCCTCAACGACCTGTTGGTCAGTAGGATCTCTGTCTTTGTCTTCTGAGTGAACTGCAGTTTCTCATTGTGTTCCTTAAGCTGCTTCTGCAAGCTGCATTGAAGATGTAAAGGATACAAAGGATTGACATTTACGTGCCTGTCAATATCCAGTTTGTATCGCGCCAGCTGTTCCTCCAGGAGCTACACGATGTCTCAATCAACTTCCATCCGTCCTCACATAATCTCAGTCACCGCCCCTCGACGCTTAATCTTGTCGCATTTTATCTTCTCCTTCCAAACCTCCTGCACCTCTTTTCACAACTGATTGTCAATAGCACAAGACAAGAACCTGGAGCAGCGGAAGGTCGCTCCGCATGGATCTCATGACGGCCTCCATCTCATGATTCACCTGCCATGTTTCACCTCAGAACTCGTCGGTGAGTGACTGAGCGCTTCTTGGACGCACCACTGTCGTGTAACTGAGGATGGTACTGCACTTGTGAAGGCATTCCTACGAGCGAGTCAGCCAACACGCGGCCATGGCATGGGAGCACGACCGCTATCTCCTTCCTGTATCTCCTGCAGGACTCGCAGTCTCCGTCGTACTCCTGCTGGTACTTGCCGCGTTTGGGAGAAGAGAGGAGGGCGTCGAAGGTGACAGATTTCAGAACATTCAAGGCTTCGTCATTCTCGCTATCGGTCTCCGAGGCTTTCCTCCTAGTGGCTGCAAGGTACGACCGAGCTCGATCGCGCTTCAGGGCACTCATCCCAGACAGCTAACGAGTAAGAGGTGAGACGATACCGCCTTTCCTCCTTCCCTCCGCTAGCCGGGCCCGTCGTTATGCTCCTGCCCCTCCTGCAGGCTTCCGAGTTCCCTTCCTCCAACTTTCCCGCTAGTCTCCTACCTTCCTCAACTTCGTACACTTGCTCTTGACGATCTCCTTCCCCTCTCAGCATCTCTCCCCCCCTCCCTCCTCCCCTTCCCCCACCTGGACTGCCCTTCGATCCGCATTTTTGACAACCAATCCTTTCCCCCTTCCGTCTGGTCTCATCCCCCTCATACTCAAACTCATCCCCCTCATCTTCAGTGTCATCGCCCTCACCGCTTTCTAAAGGAAAGGTAACGTGTTTGTAACGGAATCCACGATGCAGAAACGGTAATTGTAACGGTAGAGTCTACGCAGGGAGGGCGGGAAACGTGTCAAGAGGGGTCTTTGGTTGGGCTGTTGATGTGAGGTGAGGGTGGGGTACTTCACATGGGGGGAAGGGGTACAAATAGACAGGGTGTATTACACCTCAAGAGGGGTATTTCCAGGGTTCTGTGGTACAAGGAGGATGGTAGGGGTATACTTCCTTTTCTATCAAGTGGGGTAGTGTAGGGGTGACGCCCTAGTCTTTGACTTTTTTTTTCTGAATAATTATCTTATCTAAAATTATCTCGTCTTTTGTACCAGGACATGTTTTCTTGTACAATTACCACAAAACTATTAGTACTGAGATCGCTGAAAATTGATTAACAATCTGTACCACAACTTAATATGCTATTGGTTTCTGGTACAAAAATTATATATTCATGTAGAGATCGTGGATGTAGCAGAGACTGATGATGGGGATCAGGCAGGAGGCCCGAGGTTGCAGGACTCATGGTTGAGAGAGAGCGAGAGAGAGCGAGAGAGAGCAGGAGACTTGCGTGAGTAGAGAGCGAGAGCAGGAGAGAGGAACGAGGAGAGTGAAGAGAAGCTGGGGCTGGTAGAGCAGATCAGGAGAACGTGTCGGATAAGGTAGCAAGGTTGTGCTAAGAAAATATGGAGGACGCATTAGGACTGTCGTCCAAGGATTTGGACAGGACAGGAGAAAGTGCAGGTCTGGTAGATGTGTCATGCGAACATTTCTTCACGGACTCGCTCGCTCCTGTAAGAGCCGCGAAGAGCCGGGCGACGGTTTCGAAGAAAGAGAGGAAATCGCCGCAGAACTCCAAGAAGAAGCAAGGTTGGGTGAGTTCATGCCCTTCAGACGCCAACACCACAGTGGGACGAGGAATCTGCAAGAAGAAGGCCTGTGGTCAAAGCTTGAAGATCTCAAGAAAGCAGAAGCAGCCGAAAACATCGTCACTGTCGCACTCCAAGAGCAATGACAGCACTATCGGATCAAAGTGCTACGGGCTTGACTCCCTCGCTTACTTTGCGACTCTCATCGCAGACGCAGCAGAGGCAAAGAATCCAGAAACGTTTGATTTCTCCTCACCGAGAATTCCATCCGAGTCGCTCCCCGGCGACAAATGCGGAGGAGAGTTCTCCGAAGACGAGGACGCAGCGGGGCTGGAGGACGAGTCTCCCATTTCCTTCTGTCTGCCTCCTCTCCTTCCCCAATTGATTATTTAGGTACAAGGTGTATCTTCCAGAGTGAGTTCTCGAGCAGGGCTGATCCTCCGCTGCTCAAAGTGGTGCAAATTCGTGGTAGAGCTGCGCTTGTTGTGGTTCTTGTGTAATGAAAGCTCGAAAAAATCCTTCCTTACAGTTCATCATGTCCGGTCAACTTGTCCGTCTGCGGAGATTGACTACCTGCTGCCTTCTGATTGTCCTCCTCCTGGAAGCAAAGGGTGATGAGTTCCTGCATGGACCATCCAACAAAGTCAAGCTACCTCCTTCAATTTGGCGATTCTCTCAGCTTTCTTCTTGGCTCTCTCAGCCCCCACTCTCTCGTCTCGCTCCTTTATCTGGACCAAGTACGCTTTCCGCTGCTCGTCATCGAGGTGCGGAGTATCGTTCGGGAATTCGAACTTGATGCTCGCCACCTCTTGCGCCCACAACATGATCGGTCGAACCTGACAAGAGACTTATGAGCGATGGCGAGAATGAGGGAGAATCCCAAACCTTCGCCTTCCCATGGAACATCTTGTGGGGGGGTGACTTGTCACGCGCAGGAAACATGACGATCGACGGCAGACTGTCCAGCTCCAAGGAGTCTGGAAGCTGATTTCTCGAAAGATCGTACCTGCCGATCTTCAAAGAGGATCAGGCTACTAGCGAAGAGGATCGAAACCAATGTACTCTCACCTTGAGAGTATCGATCTTCAAGGCACGAAATCTCTCCACCGTCTTCTTCCAATACGGCCAGAAGTCTCTTGTAACCTGCCGGGAGCATGAACTTACAAGGGAAGGAAAGAGGATCAGCTCACTTGTGCCGATGCCGAATAGAACAAAACCATCACATCAAAGAATTCATCCATGCTAATCGTGTCGGCAGTCAAAACACTCTTGAGAATGTCAGGGAACCCACCAGATCTGATTAAAGTTCTTCCTTGTGATCTCGATGAGCCCCACTGCCCCGTCCTTCTCTGCTTGTTGTTGTGCAGCCTTGACCTTCAGGAACAGGCAAGGCTTCAGAGACGAACATACACACACTGTTGCAAGAGAACCTCTTCATCTGTTGCAGATGCCTGGGAAGGCTGCAGCCTACCTGTGAGAAACCCTTCCACATGCTCTTTGATGTTCCTCTGATCCAACTTCTTCCACGAAGGGAAGGGATAGAGCGCCCCTGTCAGAGTATTGAAAGCCATGGCTGGGAGCAAGTCGTCGGTCAGGCCCAAGGCGATCTTCCTCGTCGCGTGCAACCGCCCATCGAGGTACCCGAAGCTGACCTTCCCTTGGTAGAAACGAGCGACAGCTTTGAAGTCTTTCAGGACAGCAGAGTTGTCCGCTGTCTTGTTAACGAAAAGAAGGAGCATCGGTATCCTGAGGCTTTCATAGTATGCGAAGTTGGTGCCGGTGACCTCGTCAACTAGCCGGACGGTCCTCTTTGAGATCCACTCTTGAACGCTCATGTCAGCAAGTTCCGTGACCACGACGGAGTCAAGATCGCGGTCGTGGAGGTCAAAATTTCGGAAGACGACGATGGCCGGAGCTTTCTTGAACCACTTCTCACCCTCGAAGTGAGAGCTAATGGCCTTCGCCTTGACGGTTGCGAAGTAGACGTTGTTGGAGAAGCGAAGACTCTCTGCTGCCTCTCTGAACTCCTCTTCCTCATCCTCGTACCCGTCAGCCTTGGAGAAGAACGATATGACACTGACATTGTGCTTGATTGAGAAGTCTTGAACCTCCTCCACGCTTGTCAGTGTTGTCACTGTGTTCGCAAGCAGCTTGTTGGCGTACGAGACGAAGGCGGAAGGCGAGTGATAGCCCTTGTACAGGCCTTTGTCCTTGCAATTCTCCACAACTTTCACTGCTGGCATCGTAGAGATCCCCATGTCCCGAGAGAAATCTTTCTCCACATCCACGTCGACCCTTGCTAGGGGTATGCCCAGCTCATCGAGCTGAGGAGTCGCCCACTTGTAGGCCGGCTCGAAGTCGACACAGTGACGGCATGACCGGGCGGTGAAGGCAACCAGCATGATCGGATGCTTCTTGCACTTGGACTTGAACGTCTTGGCAGTCATATTGAAGCTTCCTCCCCAGAACGGATACGGGGGTTCCTGGCAGACCATGTTCTCCGCCTTGCAACCATACACCGCATCTTCAAGAAAGCCCTTGCATCTACAGATGCACCCTTCCCTGCTCCTCTCCTTGCACCAGTCATCGCAGTCCATGTCTCTGCTGCATTGCTCCTCATCCTCCCTGCTCACTTTGATCCTCTGGACTAGCGGATCTTTCAACCGATCCTCCCTGCTCAGCCCACCGAGGAAACCATCCATGTCTCCTGCAGCTGAAGCAGAGTCTTCTCCAGGGCGACCTCCTCCTCCTCCTCTTCCTACTCTGCCCTCGTTGCTGCTTCCGCCGGCAGCCAGGCAGCATGCCAGGCACAGAACAGCCAGCAACTTCGCCATGGTTTTCGGAGGTCCACAAAAACCTTCAGACCAACAAGATTGTGATGCCCACATCTTCAATATTTTCTTATTATATTTTGAAATTTGATATAAATATTTCATATAGTCATATATTGGACAGAACTTCTCTGGATCATTCTATTACACCCTCATCCCCACCCATACTACTATAATGAAATGGGGGTAGGGCATCGAATGGGTGGGATATGAATGACCAAGGGTGGGTACATGAACCCTTTGTGGAAGTCATATGAGGGGTACATAAGTCCACATGTAGGTGGTACTGATCATGAGGTCACCAGAAACGGGGTAGGGGTGCTTGTCGGGTCAGAGGCGAAATGGTAGTCCGTCTACACTTATTTTCCTCCTCCTCCTCCTCCTCCTCCTCCTCCTCATTCTCTCCCAGGCACATAGCTCTCTTGGTCTTCATCATATCTTGCTCTCCTGCCTTGGGATGGCAGTCATCAGGAGTTGGCACCAGCATGCTCGCTGCGCTCAGGAGTTTGTCCTTGCGACGGATCCTTCGAGCCCCGTCGTCTTTCCCCCCCTCCTCCTACGTGATGATGGCAGGGTTGTCAACCGCCGGCGCAGTGGCAACCCACCAGGAGTCATGCGCTTCAGAGAGGTTGGATCCGCTGAGAGGCGGAGGGAGCGAGGACCTTGAGAAGAGGTTGGCAGAACTGGGACAAGGGCATCTGTTTGAGGGCCTTGGGGAGGAGCAGAAGGCGAAGTTGTTGGAGCAAGCAGCAGAGCTGGATGGTCAGCTGCCTGGAGGGCTGGAGGGATACGTCACCAACGCCCGCAAGCTCCTCAAGGACTCGAAGGAGGGAGTGAACCCCTACGAGGGGTTTGCCCCCTCGGTGCCGCAGGGAGAGCACTTGAAGGTGGGCTCGGAAGACTTCGAGAGGATGGAGAAGTTGGGCAGGGAGGCTCTGTCTCAGACAGGCTTCGTGCTCGTTGCTGGAGGCCTTGGGGAGAGGCTGGGATACAAGGGCATCAAGGTTTCGCTCCCCCTGTACGATGCGCTGGAGTCGGAGTGCTTCTTGAAGTTGTACATCTCCCACATCCTCTACATCCAGGAGAAGTTCGGGAAGGGGAAGAAGATCCCCCTCGCCATCATGACAAGTGATGACACTCATGCCATGACCGAGAAGCTCCTCCAGGACAACAACTACTTCGGCATGGACAGCTCTCAGCTGACCATCATGAAGCAGAACAAGGTGCCTGCGATCAAGGACAGCGACGGCCATTTCGCCATCAAGGATGGAAAGATCGAGACAAAGCCGCACGGACACGGGGATGTCCACACGCTGATGCATCAGACTGGAGTCGCCAAGTCGTGGAAGGACAGCGGAGTCAAGTACGTTGTGTTCTTCCAGGACACCAATGGCATCATCTTCCGCTCTCTCCCTGCTGTTCTCGGAGTTTCTGTGTCGAACAAGTTTGCCGTCAACTCTGTCTGTGTCCCTCGTACGCCTGGAGAAGCTGTCGGCGGGATCTGCCGCCTGGAGCATAAGGACGGCAGGGCCTTCACTGTCAATGTGGAGTATAACCAGCTCGACCCCCTGCTCCGATCCACCGAGCAGTTTTCCAACGGGGATGTCGCGGATGCCAAGACAGGGTTCTCACCCTTCCCCGGCAACATCAACGTCCTCGTCATCGACATGGACAGCTATCACTCCACCCTATCCTCCTCGGGGGGGCGGGTGAACGAGTTTGTGAACCCCAAGTACGCAGACGCGTCGAAGCAAGCCTTCAAGAGCCCCACGAGGCTGGAGTGCATGATGCAAGACTTCCCCCTCCTGCTCAGCACTGAATCCAAGGTTGGCTTCACCACCCTAGACCGATGGATCTGCTTCTCTCCGGTCAAGAACAACATCCAGGATGCCGCGGCCAAGTCAGAGAAGGGCCTCCCTCCAGAGAGTGCCGGCACGGCCGAGCGCGATGCCATGGCGCTCAACACCAGGATGCTGCAGATGGCGGGAGCCAAGATCCCTGAGGTTGGACAGGCCGGAACATATGCAGGAATCAAACTCGACTTCAGTCCGATGGTGGTCCTCCTGCCTTCCTTCGGCACCTCCTTGTCCGACATCAAGGACAGGATCAGCCCGGGCGCGAGCATTGAGATTACTAGCCGCAGCGCTCTTGTGGTCGAAGGAGAGGTCTTCTTCGAAGGGAAGCTCAAGCTCGACGGGGCCCTCGAGCTCCGCGCCCAGCCCGGGTCATCCATCATCGTCAAGAACCTCGAGGGTGAGTGCCCAGCTGTCGAAATGCCCGTGGCCGCAAACTGACTTCAAACTTTTCAGTCACCAACTCGGGCTGGGAGATCGTGGAAGTGAAGCAGGACGATCCTTCCGCAACCGTCACGCAAGCCATGAGGGGTTACAAGGTGAGAGGGAGTTTGACGCGCTGCTGAGCTGACCGAGTTCATGTCAAGGTGGTGAAACATGAGACCCGCAGTATCGTTGCGGACTCGGAAAAGAAAGTAGTCGACGAAGCATGAGAATGGGATCGCGTGTTCTCAGCGTTCATGAAATAACTCACACTACTTGTAACAAGATTCCCTCTGTGCCGCCCCTTCTCAAGTCGGTAGGATGTCGTCAGGGCTGATCAGCGATGGCTCCTCCATTCCATCTGCGGGGAGAAGTGTCAAGAACGAGAGCCGATGGAAGGGTATGAAAATTACAAAAGTGCGGAAGATCGATTGGGGACTATCGAGGTTGAAGAAAGGGGGAGAGACTCCGCCGGAGAAAAGCGGGGGGAGTTGATCGTAGTTGTTCAGGACGTCTTGGTGCGAGAAGAAACCATGGTGCTTCTCTGTCCAACCATCAGTCACGTGCCATCGTCGCTGACTAGGGCATCGTCATCGTACCGGTACAGTTGCAGGAGGCTCGAATCGTTCCACAGCGAAAGCAAAACTGACAACCACAGCTGCGAAAGAGCCATGAGTACAGGGGAAGCAACGTAGGAGCAGGTGAGAAGAGTCACCGGCAGGTCATCTTGTCGCAGCCATCAAACCCTGTCAACGTCAAAGGGTCACACGACGAATGTCACTCACTTCGCAATACCTGTTGACGCTGCTTTCTCTATCCATGACCCACACTGGGGGCACTGCCTCATCCCGGAATTGTACATGGCGTCGTATTCCTCCTGCGTCCCCGTCCACTTGGCTCCTCCCCGATGCGCCTCCTTGTACTTGATGACGAGCTGGTTGTAGCGCAGCAAGTCTTGCTCTCCAAGACTTGCTCCAATGATCTTCGACCGGATTCTCTGTCCACAGGTTGTGGTCGGACAGACCACAGGGAGCCGTCCATCGCCTGCTGAGGTGAGGATGTGCTGGGCAAGACACTCGCTGTGATAGAAGGTGGAGCAGCAGCTCAAGTGGACCACAGGAAGGGGGTCGTTGAACGACTCGATCAGCGGCCGATACTTCAGCAGACTGCTCATGTCGTCAAGGCAGATCGGACAGCTCCCTTGTGCGGAGATGTGAACCCCGTGGGCCCGTTCGAACTCATCCTTCCTCCTCAACCTCATCTCATACTTCTCTGCAACAATTGCCTGTGCCAGCTTCCTTAGGTCATCCATCTCATTGATTCCTTTGATGATCCCGCCATGTTTGTGGATAAAAGTCTTGAGGTCCGCGGCTCTCACAAATCCCGAAACCAACTGCAATGACATGCTTTCCACGCTGTCTTCTTCCTTGGGCCTTTTCAAGTCCTTCGAGCAGGCTGCATGATCGGTGTGATCATACTCCCTCGATCGCTTGCACGGGTCGTCCACAGATTGTTTCCGAGTTCCACACCCGCTCTTCAGTTCTTCTTCGATGATGCAGTTGATGAAGTCAGACCGTTCGATACAAGTCTTCGAGAGCTGTTCCCTGACCATCCCCCTCAGAGCCTTCACCGGCAGCTCTTCTAATTCTTTCTTCCTGGCCTCACGCCAAGAGTCCCCCATGACTGCCGACTTTCAAGGAGCTTTCCTTGTAAGGCTACGCGATCATTCCTGGATTCAAACTTCCTGTCGATGCTACAAAGAGAAATCAAGTGAGTACAAAGCTGGCAGGATTACAAGGGCGTCAACTATCAGAGGAGATATTAAGGTTGTAAAATCGTCCCATAACTTCGTGATCAATGTTTCCTCTTCGTATTGCTTTCGCCCAATCCAGAGAACAAAGGTGGTAAAAGAAAGAAGGCGTACTCTTCCCATAAGAAATCAAACATCTGCCCTCTTCTCCTGCTCCTGAATCAGGAGTTATCCATCTCTTGTCAACTTGACTCAAAATCTCATTTGCTCCATCCCTCGTCCGTCTATCTATCTGTGCCTTCGCCTTCTTGTCTGCTTCATTCTTACATCCTCCAGAACAATTGATGATGCACAAAACTTCATGTATTCTTCTACTGTCATGTTGATACCTTGTTCTCTTCTCATTCTACATCTTCTTCTATCCACTATCTCCTATCTCTTCTTTCTCTCATGTGTTTTACCTGTGTTTCTTTCTCTTCCATCGCGTACGGGGAAGGGAAAAGAAGAGGCCAACAAACTGTCCAGAACAGATCTGAAATGTTCGCAATAAATTTATTTTAATCACGTGGTACCAATTCCAAGAAAATGTTACAAATACCCAGTATTTTAGAGTTATAATAGTTACATATCCTGGTAAATTGAGGCTATTGATTATTACCATGTCGTACAAAATGCTGGAAAATTTGTACTTTATATGTAGGAAGCACAATTTTAAAAATGTGGCAAGTTTGTACGATGGCATATTGTATCTGAAATTTCAACGCCTCTTCAAGAAATCGACAGATTTGTTTTCAAGTTTTGATAAAACTTTTCTATTGTTTGAACTCAAATTTATGATTGCTAAGAATCCGTACGCCGGCCCGGGTCGGGCCCGGCAGGTCCGCGCGGCCCCGGCAGTTTGAGTGACTTTTTTATTCAAAGTCCTGAGTGCTGGATGAGGGGAAACTTTCTTGTCCCCACCTACCCCATCATCAATTGTCCATACAACCCTCTCATCACATTTATCAAATATATCACCCCTATTTATCAAATGCTTTCCCCCTCCAAATAACCCGTACATAGTTACCCCTACCCCCCTATTTAACCACCCACGGCAACTATCACCTGGAATCACCCCGACCCCCATCAGACGAAAATAGAAAAAATCTCGGAAATAGTGTAGGCTGCTTACGAATGGGGGGTGGTGCACCAATGGGGTAGGGTACCACGTGGTTTCGGGAAACAGGGTGGGGTAGATATTTGAGTAGGGTTATCGTATATACCCCTAGTACCAAAGATCCATATGACATTGTGGAAATTAATAAGCAACAGTAGGGGTACCATTCAAAGGTACCCTACCATCGTGACAGTACCGGCTATAGAGAACTTTTTGGTGTCCTAAGGTAGGGTACTGATGCACAAAGGAGGGGTGGTCGGAGGATGTGAGGAGGGGATGAGGGGGGAAAGATCGGAGAGATGGCGAAGCCGTGGAAAGGGAATGGCAGGGAGAGGGTGGAAGATGCAGACGGGGAGGGGGAGAGGAGGAAGTGGGGAGTGGTGCGAATGGGAGGAGCAGAATGAGCAGTGGACGGCCGCAGTGCAAGGAACAAGACTGGACTGCAAGTTGTTCGTGAGGAAAGAGACTGAGGGCGAGACTAATACGAGTACGTAGAAGAGGAGAGGAGAAATGGAGGATTATCAGGCGAGCTGACCATAGAGATACGAAGTTAGCGACATCTTAGGGAATTTCGATGGGCTGACTTGAATACCACTTCGGTCTCATCAAGTCAGACAGAGTCAGATGCATGTGCCATTGGGTTGTTTGTAGCAACGAATCCACGAAGAAAGAGCAGAAGAGCAGCATGAATAGAAAGCTTCAAGTGCGAAATGATTATGACGTGAATTGTGTCTTGCAGAAGACGAAAGCGTTGGTATGAGATCAGCAACGAGAGTGCCTGGCGTAGGGGCAGCAAATGGCACAACGCTGTGTATCTGAACAGGCAGGCGAGAGGCAAGGATGTGTGAGAAGACGAGCGGCATCAGCGTCGAGATGCTCACCAGCGATTCCAGCGCGAGTGTGACAGCGTGGAATACGCTGAATGCAAAGATCCCTGTAAAGCTGGAAGATGTCACCTCTGCGACAAGGAGCAGCCATGGTCAGGAGAGAATGCGTCCTGTGACGCCTCCGTACGCCATGAGCAGAGAGTTCGATGATGGGGAGGAGATGGACTGGAAGGCGCTGTACCTGCGAGAGGCAGAGAAGAATAAGCAGCTGCTGCAGTGGATCATCCAGCTACAGTCCACCTTGAACCACGGCTTGCAGATGATTGAGCCTTCGAAGAACAAGAACAACAACCCTGAGGTTCAGAGCAACAAGTGCCCCAAGATCGCCGGCATCGCGTCCCTTCTCGATGGCAGCTCTGACTTCCGTGACGGTGAGTCCGCTGCTTGCTCCCTGGACGTGGAGGGTGACTTGGCTGCCCTCAGTCCAGAGGCCAGCAACGAGGGACGCGGAGGAAGGTGAGGGGTCGAAGGACGAGAACGGGCTGCGGTCCAGCTCTGCGCCTTCACCCGGGCAAGGAGAGGGCACGCGAGGGATGATGGTATCAGATGGTCAGAGGGAGGGAGGAAGGGAATCAAGTCAGGGAAGCGAAGGGGGCAGGGAGCAGAAGAACTCGGAAGCGAGGAGTGAGTTGGGATGACGTGGCTAGAGGGAGGGGATGACGTGGGCTGCAGCATCGGGAGACTCGTCAGATCGAGATACAAGCTCTGAACACAACTACGGAACTCATGCAGAGATGACCGGGGGCAAGGAGAATTCCAGCTGCACAGTGAGTGGCCACTGTCTGCTTTCCTTCCCCTCGAGCTGACCTTGCACT